TAGTAAACTTGAGTGTATATAGATAAATATTCTAAACATACATAAATTATTGTTATAATAAACAATTATTCACAATAAAATACAGTGTAAAAGCTTGATATAGTGTAAATAATTTTATCCCTGCGCAACCAAAGTCTGTTGATGGCAGGCTATTTTGCCAGCAACGTATCAAGTCGGAAGAGGATATTTAGACGTCTTTACAAGCTCAAGTTTCCGATCGACGTTCAACGACAACAGACGTTACGCGCTATGTTAGTGACAAATTGTGTAATGTAAAATGACATTGTCTTGATCATATTTGACGTGTCTTTACTATTTATACGTTCTATCATATTTTGTGACACCGCTACAAACTCGATCTTTTCATAATTGTTGTGAAATAAGTTTAAAACTTCGGCCGGAATTATGAGATATATAGATCAGAGACATATAAATTAAAGCCAGTATATACGTCTCTGTATAGATGTAGGGGTAGGGACAGTGGTAGAATATCCAATAATTGCTCCTCTGTATACAATATGATGTTTGGAAGTTTGTGCTTCCCTAGCTCAACTTTTTGAATGGAAGGGTTTGAGTGAATTTGGGAAATGACAGTCAAAACCTCATCTGCAATGTTGTTGTTATTTACCTTTGGACCATTTCTTTTTCTTATCTCGATAGACTTTATCTCGAATGTGTCTTGCTGATTGGGGACCTAGCACACTGTTATCTTTAGCTTTAAGGTAACAAACTTCAGTGGCTGGTTTACTTTGAGCTAGGGCAGCACAATCTTCCAAAACATGAGGGTCTGTTCTGACATAATTATTTGTTGTTTTTGAATTGCCATGTGGCTAGGATTCCCCTGTTCCTCTTTGCCCTGAATACTCTATCAATGCCATTGTTGTCAGATTTTGTAGATCGGGCGGTGCAAGTGAAATGGTTGTTACCCGTTTCTTATATTTAGTGTTATCCTTTAGACTAGTGTAATACCTATGCAAACAGATATGTCTTTCTAGCTGTGGAGTACACGGTTCAAAAACTGTTTTTCCCTTAACCTGTCTTTTTAAGTGAAACTTTTCGTCTTTTCTAAAGATTGTTGATAGCGTATTTTCTGTTGTGATGGAGTAATAGGAATTCGCGGTCGTTCCGCTTTTAGAACACCATGCTCCACAGTCATCGGGAAAATCTGCTCTACCCTTTCCAGTGTTTCTGGAGTTACCGATGACACCATACACAATGTCTTTTGGGCCTGAAGGTATTGTCTTTGCTGTTGAAGTACTATCCCTAAATGCATGCATTATGTGTTCATTTGTCATAAATTTACCTGATGTTGGTGACTGCTTTAATGCACTTGTCCTATCACTAACAATTTCCGAATGTTCCGACTGAAAACTTGAATCACAGGTTGTTTCTAACACATTTCTAGATTCAAATACAGGGACACGTTACAAATGTCTGAAATACACATATGCTATACTGATACGGGTGACAACACACCTAAACATACAGACCCGTATCAGTATAGCATATGTGTATTTCAGGCATTTGTAATGTGTCCCTGTGATTCAAATGAGTCTGAAGGAACTATCTGACAATATTGGGTGTTTTTTTTTATGAAGGATGAATGTTTTGTTTGGACGCTTGTTTTCCTCCGTTTGAGTGTGGTCTGCTGTGTCTTCGTCTGATGTGTATGGCAAACCAACTTAACATTTATTCAAGGAGCAATGTCGATCCTGTATTTCAAAAACAAATATAAGATATCTTATATTTGTCTTTGAAATACAGGATCGACATTGCTCCTTGAATAAATGTTAAGTTGGTTTGCCATACACATCAGAAGAAGACACAGCAGACCACACTCAAACCAAAGAAAACAAGCGTCCAAACAAAACATTCATCCTTCATAAAAAAAAACACCCAATATTGTCAGATAGTTCCTTCAGACTCATTTGAATCACAGGGACACATTACAAATGCCTGAAATACACATATGCTATACTGATACGGGTGACAACACACCTAAACATACAGACCCGTATCAGTATAGCATATGTGTATTTCAGGCATTTGTAATGTGTCCCTGTGATTCAAATGAGTCTGAAGGAACTATCTGACAATATTGGGTGTTTTTTTTTATGAAGGATGAATGTTTTGTTTGGACGCTTGTTTTCTTTGGTTTGAGTGTGGTCTGCTGTGTCTTCTTCTGATGTGTATGGCAAACCAACTTAACATTTATTCAAGGAGCAATGGCGATCCTTTATTTCAAAAACAAATATAAGATATCTTATATCCTATATGAGATATCTCATATAGAAATTAAATGAAATGCTATATAAGATATCTTATAGACCAAATGAGGTATCTTATATAATTGAAATTTCGTTTCTATATAAGATATCTTATATCGCATATAAGATATCTTATATATTATATAAGATATCTCATATAGTATATAAGATATCTTATATGCGATATAAGATATCTTATATACCAAATGAGGTATCTTATATAATTGAAATTTCGTTGCTATATAAGATATCTGATATAGAATGAGATTTCGTGGCATTAAAAACCAGAAACTAATTTCTCCCTCGAGAATCATTCGGAGCACATTCAGGATTGCATTAGGCGCAATGGCGGAGAGGGATGGTACGGATGCTGTATTTTCCCTATGCCTAGCTCGCCTTGTCTCTCTTATAGCAGCCAAAGCAGAGGCTGCCATTTCCCGCACTCTTGAAGTAGGCTCAGACATAATGGCGGCGACAGGAACACGTGTTGTTACAACAAGCCTACTGTCCCTACGTAGATCCTCGAGATATTCCAGACGGGGAGACTTCATTTTTGACATTTTGTTAAAATCTCGTTCCTATATAAGATATCTTATTTAGTAACGAGACTTTAATTATATAAGATATCTTATATAGCTATATGAGATATCTTATATATTATATGAGATATCTTATATAGAAAATTAAATGAGATATCTTATATACGATATAAGATATCTTATATAGTATATAAGATATCTCATATGCTATATAAGATATCTTACATAATTCGATGAAATACAGGATCGACATTGCTCCTTGAATAAATGTTAAGTTGGCTTGCCATAGATGTGTCATAATTATCTGAACCACAGCACGATAACAACTGAAGTTTGTTTATAGACTCGAAAGAGTCAGAAAATTAAGCTATTGTTCTTTTTTTCTTTCTGGGTTGTTCGAACGTTTCAGATTGACGTTTTGATGATTTTGTTTTGTGATTTGGGGACTGGTCTGGAGTTGATGTGACTATTTTGTTTGTCGATTCCACAATTACTGAATCATCAGATTGGTCAGACGGGGTACTCGCAGAAAACCTTTGTGGGGATTTGGAAGTAAAATATTGAGTAGAGTGTTCATAAATTCCAATCAATGAAATATAAAATGCGTCGGGACAATTTCTTACGGTATTCCAATACATACGATATGCTTCCCCTTAACTGGTAGCATATCTCCGTTTTTTTTAAAGAAAAGACTCAATCATTCGTCTAAGGTTTTATTTGCAATACAATAGATTTGAAGGTGTTTTGGGGTAGTTTTGGTGTGTTTTGTGTGTCTTATTGAGTGTTTTTGGGTAAATCGTCATGCCCGTACTGAAGGTCTTGACGTTGAAAATTCCATTCGAAGCATTACAACATATACCGTCTTGACTGTTGACAGAGATTTTGTTCAGAAATAATTAATAAATGGCAGTTTAAACAGCTTCAAATGATACGTTAGAACGTCTGAAAACTGAAAATAAATGTCTCGAGTCTGTGAAATTTGGGGTTCTTCAATGAGTTTGGATATCGAAAAGGTGCACTTAAATTTTTGTGAGAGTATTATGAAAGTTAAGAAATCTACGTGTAATGCAATGGTGTATTTTTAATTGGGACGGTATCCATTAGAATGTAGTGTATCAGGAAGTATAGAATGATAAAATACTGGTTAAAATTAATAGCCACGAAAAACTATTCTTTTTTAAGTAATAGTAAAACAGTTATTTCCCTATGATAACTCATATAGGAAAAAATATTTGTGTGGATTTATGATAATCGAAAAAAATAATTTGAAGTAGATAAGCATTATTTTTAATTTCGCTTCAGTGGAATAAAGGGAGATAACTCTATAGTCGCGAAGTCTTCCAGACTAAGGGAAATAACTCAAATGTTAAATTATCACTAACGCAGGTATTAATTAAGTCTTCATTGTGATAACTTAAAAGTAATTTTTAGTAATTGTTTGAACTGGGTAAATAAAGTAAAACACTATCAATTTTTTCTTGGCTTTGGAGATGTATGGACAAGACCCTATACTTATAACCATAGAAGTATATATATTGTGCCTAATAAAGCAAAGATTTTTTTTTTATCAAAGTCAACAATATTTAAATGGTACACTTAAGTCTTCAACGAAATGTATTCTATATAAGTATTTGGCAAATCTCTTTTCCGTGCAGTATTATTTGACACAATATATGCCTAATAAATATCGAATTGGTTTATCGAAATAACGCTTGTCCGCACATAACTTAGCTATTGAGACAGGGTGATATAATAATATAGCGAGAGAACCAAGAATCTGTACTATTTGTAATTCAGACGTAGGAAATGAATATCATTTTATTATAACATCATGACTTACGATTGAAATACATAAAAAGATTTTATTGGCGTTAACAATTTATGAGTGCGCAACTTTTCTGTGTGGACAACATGATTTTTTTTCGTAAATTAGGCAGATATATTATTGAAGCGTAGTAATTTTTGTTTAAATAATTATGATCATGTATAGTCTGCTGAAATATATCATTCGTGAATGTTCCAAACAATTGTATGCATAATAGTATTAGCAAAATAACTTACATATTACCTTGATAATGTGCATTGTAATGTTATTGTATGATGATGCTAATACAAGTTTGTTGTTGTTGACGATGAGTTGGAATGATGATGATGATGATGATGATGATGATGATGAGTTTAAAAGACGTAGATTATGTGGATGAGTTGTGTTGTTGTTGATGATGATGATGATGATGATAACATCCGGGGTCTGGCCCCATCCTTGGAGATAACCCATGACCTAATGATTAGTCCCAGAACCCATATAGCCCAACCACACCCCACACCCAGTTACCACACCCCACACCCAGTTACCACACCCCACACCCAGTTACCACACCCCAACCCCAGTTACCACACCCCACACCCAGTTACCACATCCCAACCCCAGTTACCACACCCCAACCCTTGTTACCACACCCCACACCCAGTTACCACACCCCACACCCAGTTACCACAACCCAACCCCAGTTACCACACCCCACACCCAGTGTCCACACCCCAACCCCAGTTACCACACCCCACTCCCAGTTACCACACCCCACACCCAGTTACCCCACCCCAACCCCAGTTACCACGCCCCACACCCAGTTACCACATCCCAACCCCAGTTACCACACCCCACACCCAGTTACCACACCCCCAACCCCAGTTACCACACCCCAACCCCAGTTTGAAGCAAAATTGCTTGTGACATTGAACAACACATACTTTTCTTTGAAGCGTCCTTGGTCGTTGTGACCTTGACAATCGATTGATATATAAAGGAAGAATGCAGCAGTCTAACATGGGTTGGTTTTGTTGTTTTTTTGTTTTACGTATAACATGGGGCTAAGGGGCAAGCAAAAAAGAGATTAATTTAGGTGATTCAAAAGCCGTTTCGCGGTCATCTCATTGATGGGATTTTAACAAAGTTTGCTTTGAAGCACCTTTGTATAAAGAATTCAAATGTTACCTATATAAAGGAGGTCGCTGTGCTCTTTGGTACCGAAAGGCGGAGTTCCAAATTATTTGTAATGGTATATTTACTTAAAATTATTTTATTTTGTCATGGTTGCTGAAATAAACAGGTGAACGATACGGGTCTTATGTGCCTCTTGTTAGAACAGACACCGGAGTAGCAAAAATCCAACGAAACTGCTGTCGACATAAAAATGATTATGTACAAAACAGAGATACAATTAACATTTCGTTACTTGAAATGAGGTTAATATGTTTGAAGTCGTCGTTAACTGTGATAAGTGTGATTGTTAAAGTATTGGAAAGTTGTTGAGTTTTTAGCTGGAGAAGTTGATGGATGACGGCCCTGCTGTTAACACTCCCTGTAAAGACAACTCAAAGATCCAATACAGTCCTAACATAGTCCCAAACAGTGTTCTCTTAAAGACAGATAATTCTACGGGAGTCAGTTAGTGCCACACGAAGTATTTTTTATGTCGTAATTACGACATAGCTATCTCGTAATACACTAATATATGCAAGAAACTGTAAAATTATACATTATTGATTTTTTTTACGTATTTAGTGTTACTGAAGCACTTTTGATTTTTGACCCCGAAAAAGGTAAAAAAATAACACAAATGATAATGGGACAAAAAAAAGAAGCACACTGACCCCCCATTTTTGTAGGTGTTTTAGAAAAAGAAACACATTTTCATTTAATTCATTAAATATCAAAAAAAAAATTGATACCAGAACTTTTTCTATCAAGCGTTTAATCTGCAAAAAAATGGTAAAAAAGGAGTTTTCATCAAAAAATAGGGGGTAGGGGTAACTAAAATCGGCTTTCTGAGTTAAAAGCATAAGATTAAGAAATTTTACTTCCACAAATTAAAAGAACATAATATTTTCATCAATTCTACAAACATTCATACTTATCTGATAACACACTTGGAAGAAATTGTATGAATTTGCTCTGCAAATGGTCAAAACCCAAAAAATCACCTAAAATCACATGTTGTGTTAAATTGGTATCTTTGACCGATCATAGCACAAAAACGAATACACGGACATATAGTTTTATTTGCATTTTTTACTATGCCATTAACTCCTTTTGCCAAAAATCCATATAAGAAAAAAAGTTTAATACAGGAAATGTTTGACTTCTCAGAGGTGTACATCCTTTAGTCGAAGCGGTTCAGTATATAGTCTTTGTTTTCTGTTGTATTTTTTCATTGTTCACTATTTGTGTAGGGTGTATATTGTATTCAATAGTATTTACTATTAAAGATAATGTTGCTAATAACGTTTTCCACAACTTACATGCCATGAAGCTCTAGGCTATACTTGTTCTCTGATAGCAGGTCCGAAAGTAAAACAGATATTTTTTATATTCATGATTTTTATCTTCAACTTCTATGTTCTGAATTTCGAATGTCTGATATAAAAAAAAAAACATTTACCATTTTCCTTCCGATTTGCCCATTTTTTAGCACACTCCTCCATATAAAACTCCTTAAAGTCATAGCCCTTTCTAGACCTATATTTTACAATGGTACATTGAGGACAGCGTACGGTGGTACATTTAGGACATGCACAATAATATTTTCTACATTAATTATCTCGAGCGCTTGACATAACTTTCGAGCGCTAGACTTATTATCTGGAGCGCTAGACTTATTATCTGGAGCGCTCGACATATTTTCTAACCTTCCAACTTATCTACAGATTTCAGATTTTATTTCCAACACTCAGACACATGAAAATGTGTAACATGAGGTGCATGTACATGAATTCATATATTAAATTATGACAGGATGGACAGGTGCATGCATGTATATGAAGATACTGATATATATATGTATATATATATATAGAAAAAATAAAATTAACGACCGACTAAAAAACTAGCTGCTTTCACCCTTCACAGGGCTCTTCAGGTTTAAAAACTAGCTGCTTTCACCCTTCACAGGGCTCTTCAGGTTTAAACCTGAAGAGCCCTGTGAAGGGTGAAAGCAGCTAGTTTTTAAACCTGAAGAGCCCTGTGAAGGGTGAAAGCAGCTAGTTTTTTAGTCGGTCGTTAATTTTATTTTTTCTATATATATATATACATATATATATCAGTATCTTCATATACATGCATGCACCTGTCCANTTATATCCAGACCTTTGCTTATACATATATATGCATATCCATACACATACAATGCATACCAATAAACAGACGCCTACGTATATACGCGCATACACACATATATTCACAAACATATGACTACATCCCAGATACATATACACACACACACACACATATGCATACATTTCCCTATCCAAAATACTCACATAGTCACCTACTTTACATATTGATTTGTACATATCAGTGATATAGACCCATAATGTGCTTCAATATTATGGACCTATAGAAGCAACAAGTAATAGTATATGTACAATGTTTATGTTTTAGCTTAAAGTAAAGGAATCAATTTCTTTAGGAAAATTGATAATCCTTTCAGAATTTGTTCGTAACATATTGACAAAAGACCTTTCATTTTATTTTCATTTGGATTTGTACGATAGTAATTTGGAACGTATTTTCTTTGTACATTTTTCACTTCCACATTACTACAAGTAAAAAGATAATGAAATTCATTTCCAATATTTTCAAGGCAAAGGTTACATATCCTATCTACTTTTGGAATATTCTGCCACCTCCCAGTTTCAATGGGAAATTTCAAATTACACGTACCTAGTTTGGTAATAGGTAATCTATTATTTCTGACAATTTTATCAAATATTTTTCAAAACCGAATTCACGCTTGAACATTGAGTAGAATTCTCCTCTCGACGAATTATGAACTTCGGAAAACCAATTTTGTATAAATTGATCTCGAAGTCTTTGTTTAAGGTGATTTTTAAAGAACATATTATTCATACATATCTTATTTTCAAAAATGTATGAAAAACCAGATTCATCAAAAATACTTTTAACTTTACTAACCCATTTAAAAGAATATGATTCAGTGTCGTGTAAATTAAGTGCCAATCTCAACAATATACTGCTGCGTTTACATAACAAGTTTGAATTCAGTACGCATGTATGGGTGGCGGCGGTTCGGGCCAAAAACGATATACAGTAACGCGTTAATAAAGCAACGCGTTAGAACTGACTGTTACTTTATATTATTCAACACATAATTAGTGTTTTGCGGACTAGTACAGACATGGAGGATAAGACAGAAAAGGCAGGAAAAGAGAAAGAACCTACATTGGTGGAAAATGATGGGATCCTGATGATTTATCCTGATAAATATAGAGTATATTGCACATGTAGTGCATGTCTTCAAAAAAACGTCTACATTTACAAGAAAGTGTGTTTCAAATGTTCCTCATAAGGTCCTGCATACTGTACACTGTTGTTTTACTTTACAGGCGGCCCCGTAAGGCCTATCAGGCATTACCAATTCCCTCAGGTGACCGTTTAGGCCCATACACCTCTTGTGTCTACACACGATCGGATTGACGGCACATACTTACTGGTTGGATTATAATTGCTTCGGAATAACTGACTGCTCATGTCTTTTCATGTTCATATTAATGCTGATATTATGCATGTGAAAGTTGCAGCACACACACTGCACATGTACATCTAAATGCTGTGCCAAATGACATTCGTCCTTGTCGGCCGATTTGATTACTAGTGTTTGTATGCGACGTTTTCGTGTTTTTAAGTTTCATGCTCTTGGGATAGCATAGAGAGTGGCCAGGGAAGAACATAATAAATATGAGAATTGATTCGGGGAGGAATTAAGAGTATTTTACACCTAGTATAGAACTAATTTTAATTATTAAACATAACTTTATATTTTTAAATTATTTCCAAGTATGAAATAATCAATTTTTAATATGTACCTGAATCATCCGAGCTATGTTTTTCCACATCAGTAGGCATGTCTTTCAAAATTGACAAGAAATAATCTGCATCTTCCTCGGCGATCAAATTCCCTTACGTCTCTTTCTAGACAAAGAATTCCGTGGAAAAAATGAAGATTAGATTGGTGCTGATTTATCCATTAATAACGGTTATTAGGACATTTGATCTTAACCCGTGGTGCAATGTCCGTCGTCTGTTCCAATAACTTTTGTTTAAATGTCTTTTTCAAAAGTCAATAAACTGATTTTAACCACACTTTGAAGTGAAGTATCATTTGGTTCAGAGATGTTTATATTTACATAACGAAGGCATTTAAGGAAATCGGATAATAAATTAAAAAAAAAATATGACTTTTTGAAGTTCCCAAAAAATAGGGCATTTCCTGAAAATCAATTATAAAAAATCTAAATTGCGTTTCGACACCACTTTTAAGGCTCTGGAAAGTTTATTTATATATTAAAACTGCCAAATTTTATTCCAATTATATGAAGATTTATTTATTCATATTGAAATAAAACCCCAGACAATAACCCATTTCCACACTACTAAGAAGAAACATATGATGTGGAAATGGGTAATTGTCTGGGGTTTTTAATATGATTAGTCATAATATTTTTATTTATTTTAAATATCAAAAGCATCAACTATGAAACGATTTCTCTGATTGGCCAGTGCATTTACCGTTGTAACGCGTTAGATGGGAATTTGAACGCGCTAGAAGTGACTTTAAACGCGTTACTTTTACATTTGAAAAGTAACGGGTAAGAAGTGAATTTTAACGCGTTCAATGCACTTCTAAACGTAAACGCGTTTAAAGTCAGTTCTAA